TAAGATTAAAAGTTTATAAATTAGTGTGAAGAGTTAGAGTTAGGACTTTGGACACGAACACTAGCTTTAACCTATTTAGTCATATGAATGAATGAATGAATTTCGAGCAAACTTCAACGAGTCTTTGTGTTAAGTCAAAATATTTCGTCCATAAATAATAATCCCATAGCTATATCATTAAAAAACTGCAATTTATAGTGTTTGTATAAATTAACTCACCTTCAGTTTGTAAATCATCATGTTAAATAATACAGCTTTATTCTGTATTAGAAATTTAATGTTTCATTCCATTGTAGGTTTAAAATCAGTAGTTGATGTTGTTAAGATGTTATTCACTTGAAAAGTTTGATTAATATTCATTAGTTTACTGTCTAACGAATGAGTTCTACGTACATGACTGTCATGTGCTGCATGTGAAGCAAATGGTTTCCAACAAAATTTACACTAAATTTAAAAGTAATTACAATCATTAACATAAATTACTAATCATTGTAAATATTCAAATGTTACAAAGAATACTTTACAAAAAATTGAAGATTTCACAATTATACAATACATAATAATAATGATCTATGCTTAATAATTTTCATGAATGATTTTCATCATAGCACATACCAAACAGTGATCTGGTGAGAATAGTTGACCGAATCACTTTACCTAAGAGGTTGTTCAGCAAAATTAATGAGCTCATTATCAATATCGACAACTAGCAAAACAAAGATTAGAAAGTATTCCATTTATTTAACGAAGATTATCAATTCGATTTGTGATAATCACCACCAAAATTCTCGAAACAAAACCCACTCTTTGACTAAACAATATTATTTCGATTTAGTAAATGGAATACAATTATCACTAATGTTTTAGAAATAAATCGCTCATACTTCTATCATATAACTACTAAATGATTTTCAATTACCATTTAAGCTTTTTATGATAGTAATGATAAACAATATCACCTAAATCATATTAAACTTGAATTTTAGTGAAATACAAAACAGTTCACTTTTGATAATTTTAAAGTTAGGTGAGATAAATGATAATATGACAATATATCTATTTCCATATGACTGCAAGTAAACCCTAATGATGAATGCCATGTAGCTTCAAATCTGTTGACAGTGATTTCTGGTGACTGTCTTCAGTCAACTAATATAAAGCACGATATAAAGTTACTCTTATTTGTGGCCAACAGTGTTCAGCAAAAACGAAGCACTAGATGATGTAGCCATAGGTGATCAATCAGCGTAAACTTTACAGTTATACAGAAAGTTAACTGCAACCTGCATAATTCATTTCATGCATCTTTGCTCACATAATTTGGTAATATAAACCCAAATCTAACCTGGAATCTAATGATTTACAATACACTTTATTGAATAGTTCAAAATATCAGGAAAACTGATTCTTTCTAACAACCAAAACACAAGATTTGACATACGGAATCGATTACCGGTGGATACCAGTCTAATTGAACTGACAAGTTCCGAATAGGCTGAAATGAGCATCATTGATTGGATGTTTATTCA